GGGAGAAGGGTCTGGGTTGCAGCCACCCTGGCCTTGCTCAGGGCTACGGGCGGCTGGGGTGGCACTAGGGCAGTGATGGCGAACCTCCTGAGCTCGGCGTGTCAGCATTTTGAAAAACCCTAACTTAACTCTGGTGCCGTGTCCCATAAAGAAATTTTTTGATATTTGCAACCATAGTAAAACACTTATATTTTTGGAATTTGCCCATTTGGGGGACAGAGCGCAAAAATGGTCTCCAGGAGAGCGTTGAGGCTCTGGGCAGCCCCGTTCCTGGAGCCCCGTTCCTGCCTCAGTTTCTCGAAGCGGAGTTTATGGTGGCGCTTCCCTCCAATGAGGCTAAGTGGTTAGGGCAAGGGCAGGGCCAGAGGGCTGCTGCCCCCCGGGGCGGTGGGGCTCCAGCTCAGGGCACCGTCTGCAGACGTCCCAGGCTGGGGCTCTGCCGGGGGCTCCTGCTGGCCCCCCACTGGCCCACAGGGCTTCCATCTCTCCACCCCAGACCCTCAGCTGGTCCTGACCCTTGACCCCGACCGGGGGCCAGCGAGCTCCTGGGGCGGCTCCTGCAGGCTGCGGTCAGGGTCTGGGTGGAGGTTTGAGAGCCACCAGCCCTGCAGGCGCGGATGCTGCAGAGGCTGCGGCAGGGCCTTTGCCGCGACCTCCCTCGGAGCACGGGGCACGGGCATGGGCATGGCTGGTGGTGGGCCGCCCTCTCCAAGCGGCAGGTAAATAAACGCGTGGATTAGAGCCGCAGCGCGGGAGGCGTGGGCTGTGCTTGTGCACTGGGTGGCGACCGCCCTTGGAGCACGGGGCACGGGCATGGGCAAGGCTGGTGGTGGGCCGCCCTCTCCAAGCGGCAGGTAAATAAACGCGTGGATTAGAGCCGCAGCGCGGGAGGCGTGGGCTGTGCTTGTGCACTGGGTGGGAGAGATGGCGCTCCATTTAATTATAATTTAGTGTAAAATATGCCTCTTCCGCGGCAGCTTCGCGCCTCGTGCTAATTACTCCGCCGCGCTCTCCAATCGCCCCGACGGCGCCTCATGCGTCGTGAACGGTTAATTTACAGCCGGTAATAGGCTGACACATATTTAAAGTCATGGTGCCCAACGTGGAGAGGGAAAGACAGAGAGAAACATCGATGTGAGAGAAACACATCGATTGGTTGCCTCCTGCACGTGCCCGACCAGGGCCTGGGCTGGGGGGGAGGAGCCTGCAACCAAGGTACGTGCCCTTGACGACCGAATCGAACCCGGGACTCTTTGGTCCGCAGGCCGATGCTCTATCCACTGAGCCGCACCGGCCAGGCCATTTCCCTTGTTTAAGCCTCCCTGTCTGTGGCCCTCTGTCCTGCTTGCCCAGCTGGCCAGGTGGGAGGCTGGAAGGCGAGGCCCGGTTGCCGAAGGCATTTCGCCGCCCGGCCGCCCTCAGTCTGGGGGGAGGGCTGTGACTGCAGGAATGCCCAGGGGGCACCCAGGGTGTGCCCACTGCCCGAGCAGGTGACTCTCTATTTTGACGGCTCAGCCGTGGCGGGAAGAGATTGGTCCCTGTCATCTTGGGAAATCCACGCGCAGTCCCACCCACCACGGCGTGCTGCTCGGCCCCTCGGGCACCATTCTGGCGCAGAGGCTGCTGGGATGGGCTTGGAGACGGGGGGGAGAGGAAGCTGCTTGCTCAGCCACGAACGCCTGGATCCTGAGGAGCTCCTAGTGTGCAGCCTCCAGCCCAGGCCGTCGTGGGGCCTGGCGAGGGGCGTGGCCAGCCTCCCGGGGTGACCTGGGCTCTGGGGTCAGCGGGAGCTGGACTCCAGCGTCGCCTCTCCCCAGGGTGGCGACTTTGGGAATCTCTGCTGCGGACGGGACCCTGACCTCGCCCACACTGCTGGGGGGACTCAGGGGCGTCCGGTGGCCAAGGAGACAAGGGTGTCCCCAGCGAGGAGGGTGGGTTGGGGTGGTCGGGAGCCTGCAGGCCCCTGGGGGTTCAGGGAGGGCACTTGGTCCTTAGAGTGGTTCCTCGGCCAACCTGCGCACAGTGGGGCAGCAAATGCCCATGGCAGAACCCACGGCCACCCTAGGGGTGCAGTTTCTACGCTGCCCCCGTCACGGTACGATGCCCGGGTGGTCGCATTACTGTCTGGCTCTTTTTTTTAAAATATATTTGTATTGATTTCAGAGAGGAAGGGAGAGGGAGAGAGAGAGAAACATCAGTGATGAGTGAGAATCATGGATCAACTGCTCCCTGCACGCCCCACAGTGGGGATGGAGCCCACAACCTGGGCCTGTGCCCTGACCAGGAATCAAACCTCGACCTCCTGGTTCATAGGTGGATGCTCAACCACGGACCCACGCCGGCCGGGCCATTGCCTGGCTCTTGTTGGCGATCCCGGCGCCGGTCTCTGTAAATTCTCCAACGAGGAAAGGACAGGGCCAGCGAGGGACGGATGGGTCCTGGCCTCAGGTCGTTTGGCGAGTGGGGAACCGAGAAGAGGTGGCCTGTCAGGGCCTGCGTTCCCTGGATGGAGGACCCCCAGCCCGATGTCAGCTCCTGTGGAGGGCAGAGCAGGGTGAGGGGTCCCCACTCCTCAGGCCCCCTCGGGACGAGGTCACAGCCCCGGCTGGAGTGGGCCCCCCCCAGCTGGTATACGCAGCCGGGCCGCATCCATGTGTCTTCTGCAAAGAGCGTCATAAAAGGGGCCCCGACTGGAAATCAATCCTTTAAAGCTGAAATCAATAACAATAACTGATATTAATACTGATGACCTTCTCTTTACTGCACTTTGCAGCTGGGGTGGCTGTTTTTAAGGATTAGGGGGGCTCCGCAGGGCGGTGGGGGCGGGGCCAGCAGCCCCTGCGCCTGGGGCTGAACGTGTCAGGTCTCTTCCCCCACATCCCCGAGTGCCGGGGTGAAGGGCAGGCCTGGGAAGGGTGTCGCACGGGGAACGGCCAGCGCGGCTCCCACACAGACGGGCGCCCTGGCTCGCCTGCCTCCCTTTCTTGGGTCTGAGTTTGGTTTCCTCGGAAGCTTCTGGAAGGTCTAGCACAGCGCCCTGCAGAGAGGACGTCGCATGCGCAGCAACAGCGTTGTGGTGCTGGCCAGTCTCCTCCAGCCACACGGGCCCTGAGCTGTGGGTGAGGCGGGGCCAGGTTAGGGTGCAGAGGGAGCGGGCACCCCACTTCCCAAGCCTCGGGGCTCACTGTCCACTGAGCGGGCAGGAGGCCTGGGTTCCGGATGAGGTGCCATCCCCATCTCTGGGCCCCCTCGTCCCCATCTG